CAAAACAAAAAAAAAACACTAGTTTATTATTAATAAATAAATAAAAGGGCTCAAGCTTTATGTGTGCGCTTGAGTGTATATATTTAAGTAAATAAATGAAAACAAACGTGTGATTAGTCGACTAATGGCTTGAATGTACGACTTGTAGTCGACTAGAAAAATCTTTAGTTGGGGCAGCCCTACAAAATAGTATTGTTTCTGACAAAAAATATAACATTGTTCTAGTGGTTTTTGGATAATTGAATCCCAAAATCTTACATGTTGTGCCTTTTAAGTGGCCTTTTATTTCATTAATACTATTTTATCTTTAAGAAGCATTTTGAGAGTTGTTAAGAATTAAACTTTCGCATGGTGTGCATACTTAGTTTTGTTTTCTGAAATGGCCTACACATGGATATCTTGACAATGTGCACAAAAAGCATTAATATTTTCTAATATCTGCTCAATAACCTTTGCTGCATTACTTATTCTGTTTCTTTTTTACATTCCCCTTGTTTCTTAGAAACTCCTCCATGCGCGTCGGATCAGTTCCTGTGTGAGAATGGCCGCTGTATTGGCCAGCGTAAGGTCTGTAATGACATCAAAGACTGTGAAGATGGGACTGATGAACATCCATTCCAGGACTGCCGTGAGTCTACAAAAACAATGCACTATTGCATGCATGTGAAATCTCACATAAGACAAATAGTGGTAGTTCCTCTGAATATATCACACTCCCCCCTCTGTTAACATTTCAAATGTTTGCCTGTGTGTGTTTATAGGCTCCAAGTCAAGTGAAGAAAATTGTAATGTTAACAACGGAGGTTGCTCACAGAAATGCCAGATGTCTCGAGGTCTGGTGCACTGCACTTGTCACACCGGCTACACATTAACACAGGATGGGAAGAGATGCAGAGGTGAGCAGACAAGGGGGAAAAAAACAAAGGACAGCAGAAAAGAAAGTTACTTAGAAAGGGGATATAAACTTTTGAACAGGATTATATTTGTTCTATTCTTAGGGTATAAGTAAATATATATAAATGTGTATATATATATATATATATATATATATATAGTGTATATACAGTATATAAATTATATATATATATATATATATATGAAGAGTTCAGATGCAAAAGCCTCTAAATGCCATTTAAAATTTTCTTCTTTAATGATGATTTTTATCAAACTTATATATTTAAGTTCAGTAATTTCACTTAAATAACAATTAATAGGTAATTATCATTGCAATTTAAGTGAAATTACTGAACTTAAATATACAAGTTTGATAAAAATCATCATTAACGAAGAAAATTTCAAATGGCATTTAGAGGCTTTTGCATCTGAACTCTTCATATATATATATATATATATATATATTATTTATTTTATTTCAGACTCAGAAAAACAGAGTCCATAAAAAACATACAAATACGACAGACAGACAAATAGACAAATATATATATATATATATATATTATATAATATATATATATATTATATATATATATATATAATATTATATATATATATATATAATTTATATACTGTATATACACTATATATATATATATATATATATATGTATGTATGTATGTGTGTGTGTATATGAGTGTATATTTATATATATATATTTTTTTTTTAAATTCTGCATAGGATTTATAAACTGATTTATAATATGAATTATGCACACATTCATTTTGATGGATTTCTCCAAGTGTCTTGGAGATGTTGCCACAATTTCTCTCTCAGATGTTTCTTCATCTAATCCCAGACAGACTGGATGAGAATAAGATCAGATCTCATTGTGAAGCACACAGTCTGTTGTCAAACTCTTTGTGCATGCAAAATGAATGGCAATTACAATTAATGGCAAAAGAACAATGTTTGGCACACAAAAGTAGTGTAGTTTAGCATACTTTTTAATGTAGTACTTAAGGAAATAATATACTTAAAAATATACTTAAGTGCTAACTGAACGTAATGTTTTCAGAGACTTAATTGCAATGATTTGTTAATTGCAATTAAATGAATTTATTGTAGGTTTAAATTTATATTGAATGCAGTTAGTTGAACTTTAGAGTATTTTTTACAGACTTAAGTGGGACTTAAGCTCATCTTTATATGCAATTTCATATTTCTACTGTTTTTGAAATATTTTTTCAAAGTGTACTGCCGAATATGATTGGCAGGCATGTATGGTAACCTAAAATATACTTTAATGCCATTTCTTTTTTATTATTATTATTTAAAACGTGTAGAATTCCAAAAACAGTAGAATTATGAAAATACATTTAAAGATTTGCTTAAGGACTTAAGTGAGTCAAAAAAGCACTCTAAAGTTTGTGTATTTAACTTTTGTAATGAAGTTGCTATTTAATAAAATTAACTTTGACATTTTTAATAATTCTTTAAAGTGTACTTAAGTGTGTTATGAAACAAAATTATGAAAGTGTGCTCTCTTTAAGTACACTTAAGTGGCCTTTTATTTCATTAATATTATATTTCCAGCAAGAACAATTTTTTTCTTCTTTTTGTTTTCTTCATAATTTAATTATAATATTTAAAGTACATATTCATTGCAATTATGTGAACTTCTTTCTGAAAAAAAATCAAGTCAAGTCACCTTTATTTTTTATAGTGCTTTATCCAATACTTCATAGTGCTGTATGTATACAATACAGATTGTTTCAAAGCAGCTTTCCAGTGATGAACAGGTTATTTATACAAGGGTATAAATTACTTTTATGGAGTAGAATCTAACATGTTTAAGACTTCACCTGTGTAATATATTATCATCACTTCATATTTATTTATGCCCTCGATAGGCAATTAGTTTTGCAGCAAGGCCAGCATACAAACAAAACAATTTATAACATACATTAAAAAACACCATTAAAAATAACATATATTCCACTACAAGAACAAAATCGCCTCTACCCACTACACCCTGTTCCACCCATACCCAAATTTAAAAGAGAAATAGCATTGGGAATGAATGAGTTATAGAGTAGAAACTGAACCAAGATCCTGCGGGCAAAAGCTGAAACTCGGAATAAAGAGGACGGGATCAAACCGTTAAAATAGATCAAGCTTTCCTCAATACCTGGCCATTATACAGGTTGGTAAGGTGACTGCTGGAAACCTAAAACCTTGCTACTCAGGGCCGTGCAGAGACCTCTGTAGGGGCAGGTGCTCAAAGTATAAAATGGGGCACATGGAAACAAGGCTTTATAGGGCTGTGCTCAAAATATCAATACAGTAATATATCAATACAGATGATTCTGCATCGATACAGCAGCAAATGCATTGATGGAGTTTTGAAAAAGAACCAGAACAGAAAAGACAAATTTAAAGTTTAAAATTAAAAAAAATAATTGATGTGCTCTATATATAACTCTGGGATTAGAAACTGAAGCATCTTAAGTTGTTCCAACCTGATGGCTTTTTCTTCTGTTATACAGAATAATAAAGAACAGCTGTTATAGTGAACTGTATAGGACAAAATCAACCTGGCCCATATTTCGTGCAGTAGAGTATAGTTTTATTTAATGGCATATCAGCATCTGTGGCTATTTTCATGGCAAAAACTGATTTACAAAAATACAAGAGTTACATTTTATACAATGAAAATAAAAACAAAGCAAACAGAAACAGCAATTAATACTTTACAAGATTTTTAACATTAATGTTCTGGTAAACTCTTACTCAAGTCATTAAGTGAGTTTGGTGCCTTTGCTGTTGTTGTTGTTACTGCTGCTGCTGCTGATGATGATGATACTGTTGGAGTTGATCTGAGACTGTAGACATTAAAATAAACAGAGATATAGGGTATTGGCTGATTAAACCATTTTTATGTGACCATGACAAGATGTAAAGATTGCTGACAGTGTTTGGATCTGGCTCACTAGTCCACTGACCTGCTAAAGCTACAGATTCTACCCAGGCTGCTATAGTATAATAATACAATAATAGTATATAATAGTTACCTTACTAGGGCAGATGTTCACAGAGGCTTCTGCACACAAAACATAAGATACTGGTAAGCCTATGTGATAACTTACCAGAGTTGTGATAATCATTTTTATGTGAAAATATTTTTTTTAATAAATACTGTAATAATAATAATAGTTTAAAGTACAAATAATAGTTTTTAGTCAAATAACACCCCTCCACGCCCGTGAAACTTTTCTCCCTCAAACAGCAAGCTAACGTTACTTCTACAGCCTACACACAGCAATACAAACAACATCTCTCTGCATGCTTCACGTCGTTCTAGTAAAATAATAATAATAAGTAAACAAACATCAAAATCACTTCGCTGAGAATAGAACACCACTTACCAGCAGCCGCAAGACTTGAAGATATCCTCTGGGAATGCGCGATTGCGCGTAGCCGCGCGAAATTATAAAATGCGCGTGCAGCGTGAGGAATTAGGTGAAAGGTCATCATGTGGGTCATTTTATTTACGGCTAATTTATTATTCATTCATTTTACTACTAGTTAGATGGGGCAGGCATCCACAAAAGTGCCTTTAAATACAAAAAAAGGAGAGGAAATTTTGTCTTGACAAAAGGGCACTTTGGGCACCAAGGGGCAAAAGGGCAGGTGCTCGAGCACCCAACGCCCCCCCCCTCTGCACGTGCCTGTTGCTACTGGCATGAACTATTTTTAAAAGAGCAGTTTTGCCTTCACACTACTATACCATTGGGAATTTTAAAACAGACTCGATATAAGATTTATAAAACAGTCACCTTTCAACATTAAGCTATTGACAATCTCCAGAGACAAATTTCTCCCTATTGAAATCTAAATATTCAGCTTAGAAGAATATCACTGAGCAATGTTTGCTCTTATTACAGCTCATTTGGATCTTTAAGTGGACAAATCCAGGAATTTGACAGTCTTCCAGTCAATCTCTCTGTTTTTAAATCAACTAAAGGGGAGACTAACTAATAAATGTTATTCATATTTTGTATTTCATCCTCTCTAATCTTTCCTGCTTGTGTGTCTGAACCCAGATGTTGATGAATGTGCAGATGAAGGTTATTGTAGTCAAGGCTGTACCAACATAGAAGGAGGATTCCACTGCTGGTGTGTTCAAGGTTATGAGCTTCGACCTGACAAGCGCAGTTGCAAGGCTTTGGGTGAGGCTGATATCCATTATGAAATCAGCAAAACATGGTGGTTTGGAATGGAGATGTCCAATTTTATGTTCTCTCTTCCCAGGTCCAGAACCGGTTTTGTTGTTTGCAAATCGGATTGACATCCGACAAGTTCTACCGCACCGTGCTGAGTACACATTGCTACTCAATAATCTGGAAAATGCCATTGCGTTGGACTTTCATCATAGCGAAGAGCTAGTGTTCTGGTCCGATGTCACACTGGACCGTATCATGAGAGCCAGCCTCAACGGGAGCAATGTGGAGGAGGTCGTGTCCACGGGTCTTGAGAGCCCAGGTGAGCAGTATATATTTTAGCAGTTCGGCAAGCCAATATATTCCTCATAACAAGTCATTTTAGGATTCTTGCTTGCTTTTCACATTCGCCACACTGCAAAAAGTACTAACCTGCAGTTACTTTAAAGAGCTATTTTTACCTGATTTAACCCATATATTGTAGTGTTGGTGGTATAAATGAATGTTTTTACTGTAGGTTGATACAGCCACATTACATCATATTTTTGATTTGAATAAAAAATATTTTCAGTGCCCAACTATTACCACAACTTACTTAAATGCATGGTTGTAATTTAAAAATTATAATTTATTGTTTTAAATAAATCTTTTAAGTTGCAAACCTGATTTTTTTTATTATACTAACTTAATATTGTGGGTCATTTAAACTGAAATTTCGGTCCCACTTTATATTAAGTGGCTTTAAGTACTATGTACTTACATCGAAAAATAAGTACAATGTACTTATTTTGTTCAGATTGTATTGTAAAACACTTTTGTTGCTATTGAGGTGTGATACGGGTAAGGTTAGGGTTAGGTGTGGTTGTATAGGTCGGTTTAAGGGTGGGTTAAGGTGTAAGGGAAGGGTCAACTGTGTAATTACAAATGTAATTACATTTATTAATTACAGCTGTAATTACATGCAGGTATTTTCAAAATATAAGTACAATGTAAAAACATGTATGTACACAATAAGTCCATTGTATCAAAGTATTAATTTCAATGTAAGTACATAGTACTTAAAGCCACTTAATATAAAGTGGGACCGAAATTTCTGCTGTGAAATAATTCAACTCTTATTAAGTGAAAATTGGGCAGTGGATTTCTAGTTCCGAGCATGTTTTACATAGGAGTGGATAAGGAGAGTAAATGATGCAATTAAAGGATTAGTTCACTTCCAAATGAAAATTATGTCTTCATTTTGTCTTTTATCTCGCCATTAAGTTGTTCCAAACCCGTGTGAGTTTCTTTCTTTTGCTGAGCACAAAATAAGTATATACTCCCATAGTATATTTTTTCCATACTATGGAAGTCAATGGGGCCCATAAACCATTTGGTTACCGACATTCTTCAAAATATATTCTTTTGTGCTCAGCAGAAGAAAGAAATTCATTGTAACAACATTGTAACAATCTTTTTTTTTTTTTTTTTTTAAACAAAGGGAAAGTCCTGTTAGTGTTTAATGCGGTTTGATGTATCATTGTGCTGAAGAATATAGATTTTGGTTATGGGTGGTGGTATATATGGACGGTCGCTACATAATAAGGTTGTTCCAGGAATACAACTAAATTAGTTGGAACAACTAAATTTTTTTTGAGGAATTAACATCAGTTAATTATTATTATTTTTTTAGATTTTTTGTTGAAAGCATTTAGTGACAATTTTAATAATTTGATTATGGAAACATTCCAGTATAATGTTGCTCGCTCGTTCGCTTTTTTTCCCTCAATTTTGTTCTTCATGCTGTTTAGAGAACCAATGTGATGTTTGACAGTTGAAAACAGCAGTAAAGTAAACATTTATTTGCTTATTTGGAATGATTTTGTTGCTTATATGAATTTTTTTTTATTTTTATAAAAGCTTTGGTTAAAAACATTAAATCATAATTGAATCATTGAGTCATTTTGTTTTAGTCATGTAGCACTAATACACTGTCTAAAACATTATATTATATTATACAAAAATTATATTCTAAGATATTCCAATTATTTAAAAAAAATAAGTTACATTTTCATAAGATGCTCTAATATTCTCAAATGTGATCATGCTCAGTTTGATTCTCTGCTTCCCTAAGGATAAGAAATGCATAACATTTGAATAATAGTTGCATATGACTTTTTTATTATTATTATTTTATATTATTATTATATCTTAGGTGGTCTGGCCATAGACTGGATTCAAAATAAGCTCTACTGGACTGACTCGGGAACGTCTCGTATTGAAGTGTCCAATCTGGACGGCACACACCGTAAAGTGCTTTTATGGCAGAGAATGGAGAAACCCCGTGCGATTGCTCTGCACCCCATTGAAGGGTAAATATTCAGACTGTTGTGTTTTACTAAACATATAATGGTGAATGCAATTTGCAAACAATGCTGGATCCTTCAAAACGTTATTCATCTCATGCATTGCGCAATGAATACACAAATGTGACTTAACACACTTAAGTCCTTTTTTAAAAAGTGCAATTTGTAATAATGTCAAATGAAGTTTTATTGAAGTACATTATATTAATATATATATATATATATATTAGGGCTGTGCAAAAACTAATTGCGATTAATCGCATCCAAAATAAAAGTCTGTGTTTACATAATATATTTGTGTGTGCTGTATATAAATATTTTGTATATATAAATACCTATGCATGCATGTATATAATTAAGAATTATTTGCGCTTAAATTCTGTGTGTATATATATATATATATATATATATATATATATATACATATATACATAATCTATATTATATAAATATAAATATTTTATATATGAATAACACATTTTCTTAAATATATACATGCATGTGTGTGTATTTATATATACAAAATAATTATATATAGCAACAAAATAATTATATATAGCACACACAAATATATTATGTAAACACTTTTATTTTGGATGCGATTAATCGCAATTAATTTTTGCACAGCTCTAATATATATATATATGTGTATATATATATATATATATATATATATATATATATATATATATTGTCATGCTTTAAAGAAGTACATTTATTTTGAAGTGTTGACTAACAAACTAAAGCACATGTGAAGTACTTGATCATAATTTGAACTGTAGGTTAGTGTGTAATTCACTTTTACAATTGAAGGTAATCTCTTTTAAATTTACTAAATTGCAACTTCATCATTACATACAAGTTTTATACAAGACGCAAGTTTCGATTTTAAATCATTTTAGTTTACCGTAAACGCTTGTCTGTACATTTAACAGTAAACGTAAACCAATAGAAGTAACTATATACATTGCATAACATGCAATTAAGTGTGTGAAAGCTTTACGTTTTTCTTCTTTAAAGTCCTCTGCATGGGGAAAAATCCCCTCTTGTGACCAGAAGTTGTTGTTCTGTAATAAGCAATGGTAAGCCGAGCATGAAACCATTCTGGTGACTTCTGGCTAACTTCGTAACTCAATTTGCTTCTAATCACAAAGGCTGTGCAAAGATTTTATTCAGAGAAAGTCACAAGGCTTGAGTTGCAGCCGACGCTCATCACGGCTCTTTGTCATGAAGGACAAAAGGGGTTTATGAAATCTGGCTCGAATTCTCCCTCTCCAACAAGATTTAGCTCTTGTTTCGACAGGCTTTTGCTTCCACTGATTCTTACACACAGATGTATGTAGATCTTGCTGTATGAGAGAAAAGCCAAAGCATTACAGAATGTATCTGAGGGATAAAATGCATGATGGAAAATGTAAAGAAGAAATAAATAAAGAATAAGGATTATTTGTAGGGTGACACTATTAGAATTTGTTTCAGTCCTCACAAAAAAAATCGCTTATGTTTTAAAAAGGCAGCCCCAAACAAAACTTGGAGTACTTTTTATAGATTAACTTTTGCAAAATCCAGTAAATTCTTCTTGAAAAGCACTTTTTGTTTAGAACCTATGCACAGTAATTACTGTAAATTGAAAGTTATGTAAGTTGTAATCGAGTTTTTTCCAATGTTATGCCATTATCAGAAATGCCGTTTGATTGTTTGATTCATTGGGCCCTAACTGCATATTATTGCATTGACATTCAGCTATACTTCTAACATCACTTATGCTCTGTCTTTAGGAAGATTTACTGGACTGACTGGGGAAATATGCCACGCATTGAATATTCCAACATGGATGGCTCTAATAGGAAAATAATTGCTGATACACACCTATTCTGGCCCAATGGACTTACCATTGACTATGCCGGTCACCGCATGTACTGGGTGGATGCCAAACACCACGTCATTGAAAGAGCTGACCTGGATGGGAAGAATAGAAAGGCTGTCATTAGCCAAGGTAAGAAAAAAAAAACTTTAAAGGAAGTAGTTCACTTTTAAAAATACTTGATAATTTACTCACCCCATGTCATCCAAGATATCCATGTCATTCTTTCTTCAGTCGAAAAGAAATTAAGGTTTTTGATGAAAACATTCTAGGATTTTTCTCCATATAATGCACTTTACTGGGAACCAAATGGTTCAAGGTCCAAAAGACAGTTTCAGTGCAAATGGTTCAAAGGGCTTTAAACGATTCCAGACGATGAATAAGGGTCTTATCAAACGAAACGATTGTGACTCTCCTGTTCAAACTCGTTCATCAAAATGAACAAATCTTTTTTCGAGTCATTTGGTTCATTCAATGAACAAAACGAATGAATTGACTAGGAAAAAGATGAGTTCGAACAGGAAGGCGAGCATTTGAGGTTATAAAACTTAAACTTTGTTATTTATCTATTAAATGAACGATCGTTTCGCTTGACAAGACCCTTATTCGTCGCCTGGAATCCTTTAAAGCCCTTTGAACAGCTTGCAGTTTGCACTGAAACTGTCTTTTGGACCTTGAACCGTTTGGTTACCAGTGAAGTGCATTATATGGAGAAAAATCCTGTAATGTTTCATCAAAAACCTTAATTTTTTTTCGACTGAAGAAAGAAAGACATGGGTATCTTGGATGTCAAAGTAAATTATCAGCAAAAGTTATTTTTTTAAAAGTGAACTACTCCTTTAAAGGTGCATTGCGCAACATTTCATGTTAAAAATAGCCGTTTTCTAACCCATACATGCTTAAACACTTGCCTGATGAGCTGAATGAGCCCTTCTCTGATCACTGAGATCGCCTCTATAATCCTGTACAGTGAAATATATAAGAGGGATTCGGGCTCGAATCTGAGACTGGGCGTGACGTCATGCGCGTTCACGCTCTCCTGGCTATGTCTGGCAGGTTCGTGTAGCTATTCGCCGCCGTTCTCCGTATCAGAGAAGACAACTCGAGCGACACAACTCTAGTCAGCTTTCCACAAAAGTAGACGATGGGTTCAAAGGGGCTGTTTACACCTGGTCACTTCATGTGTTTTCTGTGATCGGATAGCTATTCGATCGTGAAAAGACCAGGGTGTAAATGCCCTCTGAAACGCGTTAGAGACGGATGAATCCGATCGCTCAAACCACTTGAGGACGTGGTCTGGGCCGCATTCCAGACGAAACTGGACAAGTGTAAATGCATCTGGTTGTTGAAACCAAGCTATATGTCATGTTATTTTAGTCATATATGACGACGCGCATCACCTCAGATGAGCAGCTGAGCTGAGCAAGCCAGCGCGCCGCAATCTATCGCAAATCAAAGTGAAAGTAAGTCGCAGACGCTTAACACTACCATCTTCATTAAAAGTAAAGAAATGAATTGATCTTACCGGCCTGTTGCCGATCTCTCTTATTGCTGTCTTTGCTGATTTTGAAATTAGCCGATGATTAATAAAATCCAGCTCATATCTGTTGCTTTCGGTGACGTGCACTTCATATCTGTATATGGCGCGGAAAGAGACCGGCTTGTAGTTCATTACAAACCCCAACGCAAACTCCGCGTGAGACAAAGAAAATAAAACTTCAGTCTGTCCAGTGCCAGGCGTCGGAATAAGACGAGAGTCGACATCGGGAAGGCTTTCAACAAACGGAGAGATCTCTGGTATGCTCTAGGGCTCAAACGGATCCTGTACAAAGTGATAACTGAACGTGTTTCCATAATAATTCAATCATAAGTGGATACAGTAAGCACAGGGAGATAGATGGAAACAAAAACGGAAGTTTTCTACTACCCCCGTTTCCCCCTCTCACACACATAAGTGTGTAATTTACTCGAATGCCTTTCCTTTCATATACTTTAAATGACTTGCAGATTTATTACTGTATTACCTCATTATGACTGTAACAAAAGATGTGTGCCGCACAGTGTGCGGCTGATGCTCCTTAGGTTATGAACAGCTCGTGCAAACGTGCGTATGTGTGTGTGTTCCTCCATGAACGCGCACAGCTCTGGTTGCAGTTTCGCTTGTCGCCAGAGGGGGCGTAGTTCTGCAAAAACTCAGAGACTTGCGTTTAGCTCCTTTAACCTTTATTATTTTCCAGGGCTGCATTTATTGTATCAAACAAATACAGTAAAAAACTGTAATATTGTTGAAAACTTCTTTATGTGAATAGTTATAAATTTGATCATCAGTGTTTAACAAAGCTGCTTCATAGTTATTTTGTGGAAACTGATGCATCTTTTTCCAGATTATAAAATGAATCAAATTTCAAAAGAACAGGTTTTATTTGAAATAGAAATCTTTTGTAACATAATAAGCGTCTTTACGGTCAACCTTGGTCAATTTAATGAATCCTTGCTGATTTAAATGATTTAAAAATCTTAATTACGCCAAAAGTTTTAATGGCAAAAAAATAAGCAGCACATCGGTTTCCAACATTGATAATAATAAGAACCATTTTAAAAAATTGAGCAACCATGAAAAGAGTAATAAATCAGATGATCTCTGAAAAATCATGTGACACTGAAGACTGGAGTAATGATGCTTTGGAATCACAGGAATACAATGCTTTTCAAAACATTGTACTGTGATTTAATATTGAATTAGTTTGATTTGACAAAAATCTGACTGTTATGATTCAAGACTACACCACTTGACAATTTAAAGAGACATTGCTGCTGAAATTTTTCTGTTCAAACCTTTAAAGTGCATCAAAGTATTTTAAAACACACTTAGCTTCAACAAAACATCAATTCTATTGTCAGTTCAGTGTTTCAACAGCTGGACAGATTTACAGATTGTCCTTTAAGAAAGTTGGTCAGGCTGCTGTGCTTTTTTTTGTTGAGTATTCTGTTCATTTGAGGAAGGATAAGTGATGTCTTGTAGATAAATTCAGGTGTCTCTCTGATGTGTGATAGAGTGCAACCAATGTTCCCTCTAAATGGCATACTAGAAAGGAAGACTAAGCCTCGGGGTTTGCAGGAACAAAATATGTGCACCTGGGAAAGGTGGGGGAATATTTAGACTTGAAAACCGAG